ACGTAGTATATATATATATATATATATATATATATATATATTGGGGTGTGTGGAGAGCCGAATCAACGCCGGTAGTTGCTATTCGTGAAGCGGAAGAATAACCTGTAAGTGCCAGTGCTATCAAAACTCGCTCTGACGCCACCAGGTCGTGGGTCCCACTGCTTTCTCACAATCTGATACGCAACATCTGCGTACGGTGGACCCACAGAGAAAACCAAGATGCAGTAGTCGTCGTTTGGCCCCCTCGTTGTGTTCTCAATGTGGTAAATGCGGCTCATGTCTTGCTTTGTGTTGGCCAGCGCAGGATAAAAAAGAGTAAACTCGTACCAAAGCACACTTCTCGGTGGGGGATTCGTGCGTGAGTCGTAGTGTGTGCGGTTGTACTGAGTCCATGTGTAGCCCGTCTTCACCTTACAGAAGCGGTGCGGCTTTACAAGCGTCACGGGCTCCTCGACGACTTTACTCTTCTCTGTGTGTGTGACGTCGTTTCGGCGCTTCGTGGCTACTGACTGTGGATGATTTTTGTAATAATCTACAATTTCGTCCTTGAATAGCTCCTCGTCCTCACCCAGGGTGTCGTTGTTCTTCTCCAACGCGGCTCGCATGTAGGATTCGTTTGGTACAAAGTCCAGTGGCACGCCAATGTCGTCACGGTTCATGCGCTCTGCCTCCCGACGCAGGCGTCCCCGTGCACAGGCGTCTCGCTGTGCCTGCAGCGCCTGCAGCGAAGGTGTCAACGGTGGCGGTGGAACCGCAGCGGTGGTGCTAAATCGATCCAAGTGATCACATGCCGCCAAGACGTTCAACCGGGCGTGCACCATAGAGTAGAACGTGGCATTGATGCCGGCAGCTACAGGACTATCGCCAGGGATGTTGGTCAGTGCTGTTAAATCAGCCAACAGCCTGCTCACGACAAATGCACGCGTGGATTCAGCGTTATGGTGGCTGTCTGGTTTCGGGGCAGCAACGGCTACTTCCTCCGTTATCTCCTTGATCGCTTCGCCCTTCACGAATGGATCGGCAGAGGCACTCAGAGCACCACCATCGGCGCCTGTCACACTAGGGATTATTGCAGACTCTATAGGGCGCCAATACCCTACAACACGCGGAGCGGCAATGGAGTTCAAAAGCTGCATAAGGGCGTGTTCGTACTTTGGGCGCAGCGCGAAGGCATTTACCTTGGCGCTGCTAAGCGACAACGCCTCAATATACTCAAGAACGGCAACCCAGAAGAGGGCACTTCTCCAGAGGGTAGCAGCCAAGTCAACCGCAGTGTCCATGTACTCGTCCTCGTCATTGGCCGCGTAGTCAGCGACGCCGCCGGTGTTCTCGTCAAGCCACCGGCCCAACGCGTCTCGAGCGTCGATAAACTCCTCAATTTGAGAAATTGTCTGCTGCATTACCTCCGCTGTGTTCTCCGCCACGAGGGACTCTACAAGAGCCGGAAGGGGAACAAACGTGTAGTGCTGTGGATGCGACACCCGCCCAATGGCCTCGGAGATGACACGCTGCGCCTGGGTGACGTAACTAAAAGGTGGGAACGCACGTGTGTCAAGGTACCATATGGCGTATCGTATGACAAGTGCATCAATGGGCAAAACACCACCGCCCCGCCGCTGCCGAATCCGTTCCACAGCACGGGCGCCACTCTGCCGCAGCAGCGCCGCGTACACCTCAACCGCCTCATCCTCCTCATGGCCACGTTTTGACATTTTTTATTTTGTGGCGATGGCGTGGTAGTTGCTACTTTTCCGTCTCGAATATTAATATTAATTCCCCAGCCTCCTCCCCTCTCCCACTTGCGTTTTCCTGTTGTTGTTTTCTTCTCGTATTGTGTGTGCGTGCGAGAAAGAGAAAGAGAGAGAGAGAAAAAAGAGTGCTTCTCTTTTGGGTCTCTTCTTATGTGTGCGTGTGTTTTGCTCCTCCTTCCAGCCGCAGCTCAGGGAAGGACGCCCCTTCACACACGCCAACAGCCTTATCTACGAGGTGCGCGTGTGCGTGTGTACCCCCTCGAAACAAGAAAAAAAAAAAAAAGAAGCAAAGCCACCACAGGTCATTCACGGCTGTCGCACACGTTCTCCCTCTCCCTCATCGACTCACAGTTGTCTCCGGCGGCTGCCGCTTCGTGGTCGCTTGCATCCCCCTTCCTTTTCCCGGTAAGGGGATTGACCCCCCTTTTGTTCTTGTCGTGTGTGGGCGGCGCCGTCAGCGACGCAAACCACGGCCCTCATCCCCTCATCTTCCTACAAGGGCGGTGGCGTTGCATCTCCCACGGTGATGTGTCGCCGTCGACGTTCCACGCATGCCCCACTTTCGCCACCCCCGCCCCACCAACATCCGTTACCATCGTGGTGGACCTCCCCCCTGCCCCTGCTCTGTGTCATTCCCGATGCTGCTAGAGGAGGGCGAAGTCAAGGAGGAGAGCAGCGACGAGGAAGCCAATTTGGCCTTCACGCACTGCGGGTTTGTCGCCTGCACTGGTAAAAGCCCGGCGCGGTGGTGCTCGTCGAGTAACCGCGGCGGCTTCCTCCCCTTGGAAGCCGAAGTGCAAAGTTCACTCACCGCCACTCGAGCTTCTGAGGGGCGCGTGGTGGAGGCCATCAAGGGCGAGGCATGGGCATCAATGTAGGCAGCATCGTTAGTTGACCAAGTGCTCTTTTTGACGTATCGGTCAAAGTAAGTAGCGCCCGCAGAAGGCAATGAAGTTGATCGCCGAACAGAGTCATCTGCTGCGCTCATTGCAGCGTAGCTACCAAGCGACACAGACGGCGTGCTTTCATTGGAATACGCAGAACCACCGTAACGGTCTGCACAGGCCTCGTCAAAGGAGGGTACACCCTTGAGTGACTTCGTCCGTCGTGGAATGTTCGGTGACACACTTGGAACAGAAACCGGCGCCTTCGTCACCATCACTTCCTCCCCATTGTCATGTGAGCATTGCTGCTTCTGCTCCTGCATATGTTTCTGCTTCTCCCGCTGACGTTGCCGCCGCGACGGAATTCCTTCAGGAAATGTATTGCGCCTGTATGTCAAACCTCTTCTTTTATTCACCATGCCAGCAGCATCGAGGTTGCCATTTGCAACACCGCTACAAAAAATATTCCTGCACGTTGCTCTTAGATTCTCCTGTTGCCTCTTACGGTTGTAGCCACGCAAATGTCTTCGTCTCTCCTCTTCGCGTCGTTGCTGTTCCTGTAGGCGGCGAATCAACTCGGCCCTTCCGTCTTCATCTTCAGCTTCCTGAGTGTACTCCTCGCCGCTGGGGGAGCTGTCGGCATACACCCCACTGTATCCCGCAAGCAGACGGCGATGCAGCGCTAGTTGGGTCACTTCGGCGGTAATGCGTTCAGCCTCCTCTTTTGTCTTGTGCTGAAGCAAGCTAGCCATCAGATTGCATATACTCCACTCCTCCAGCGTGAGACGCCGAAGCGCTTCAATGTCCGTGGCGAGAAAGCACAGCTGTGCTGGGCTTTCTGCCGCTGAGCAAGCACGTTGTGTGGCCTGCGTAGCGGGTGAGGGCGACGGCGACGGGGCAACCCGCCGCCGCAGCGGCTGGGAGTATGGATCCAACGTTTGCGACCATCGCCTTCGCTGCTGCGGCCGATATTCGGAGTTGCACCGCCTACCCACCCCCGTTGGCTGCCTCGGCCTCCTGCAGGTTGGCATCCTCCCCGTCCCTCTCAGCTCCACCGACCCCGCAAATCTCTGCTGCCACGGATCCTTCCGTATTGCGTGTTTTTTTTTATTTCTTCCTCGTCTTTCTAATGGAAAAACTTTTTTTCCCCTACGCCGGCCCCAACTTTACTCCGCGTCACCGCGATAACGCAGCGCATCACGGGGATGGGGCAATCACACACACACAAACAACAACAAAAAAAAGAACAGAAGAAACCGAAACAAATGTGGCAAAAACGCGCTGAATACCTCGCTTACTCCCGCCTCATGAAGGGAGCATAACGAGCGACGTAAAAGAAAAAAAAGAAGCACACGCCGAAGTGTTTGTTGTTGTTTCGTAGCATTTATTTGAGTCCTCGTTTCCTCAATGTTCTTTTTTGTTCTTGTTTTTCCTGGATGCTGCTGTTAGAAAAAAAAGGGGGAGGGATGGGCCCATCCCCCGTTAGACTGTGGCGTGGCCGGGAGGGAGCAGCGGAGAAGGGCTGAAGGAGATGAAAAAAAAAGGGGAGGAAAAATTGCGGAGGTGGAGAGACGGGATGGCAGAATAATATAATAAAAGAAGGAAGAAGAGTAGGGAGGTGAAGAGGGGCGATGCGCCCTCCCGTCCCCACCTCTCTCTCCTCTCGTTTTACTCGGTTTATTTTCACCCCGGTGCTCTCTTTGTCCCTCTCCCGATGTCCCCCCCCCCCTTCCTCGCCCGCGTTGCTGATGGTATTTCTCTTCACCCGCCCCTTTTCCTTTCGGGTCCCGCCTCCGCCCCTCTTCTCTCAAACCACCTTGATTTCGCTCTCTTCTTCCTTCCTCACTTTCTCTCTCCCTGTGTTTTTTCTTTGGCTCTTCTCTGTGCCTTCGCCTCCTCCTGCTGCTGCCGCCCCCTAACGGCGGTCCACAACTTCCAGCTTGTCCAGCACCGTCTGGTGTACGGAGCGAACCTGCGAGCCCACAACCATCTGCTCCGCGACAGAGTCTATCTTTGCGCGCTGCTTCGTCTCGCTGATGAGGCTGGCAAGCCACACCTCCGCCTCGGCGGTGCTCATGCCTAGCTTATCCGCCACGTACGGGATGGACACAACACAGTGGGTCATCATGTAACGAGCAAAGATGAGCCGCCGCGCGTTCTCCACAATTTCTTGCGCGTGCAAGCTGAGGAAGTAGTCACCAAGCGCCGTCGACCGCACCTCCGGCAGCAGCGCCAGGGCGTCCTCAAATGACTGCCGGTTGATAATCGCGTGGACAAGCTGCGTGATGGGGTCAGAATACTCGTACACGTTTGCCACCATCGCCGCCGCATTTCGCAGGGCTGAACGTCGTTGCTTGTTAAGAATGGCGGCGGCGCAGATGTAGCGCAGGTAGTGCGGGCACACCGTTTCCACCACGCTCTGGTACACGAAGTTTGTCTTGAAGTCAAAGACAAAGTTCAGCAGGTGCGTGGAGTATTGATTGCCGCCCTTAAAGAAGGGAAACAGCACCCAGTGCAGCAGCCAGGCCCGCTCCCGCGTGGTCGTTGTAGTGGCGACGCGAAAAATGTCCTCCTCAAACACGTCTGCGTTTTGCTGCCTCCTCAGCTTCTCCGCCACCGCAATGGCCGAGGGCCAGTTGCACGTGCACATGTCACTCACCAACTTGCCCCAGAGCAGGGTGTTCTGATCCAGTTCGTAGCCCACCACACACTGGCACAGGGAGAGCAGCTCGGAGGCGTCGGTGTAACGCGCGGCGTCGTAGTGCAGGTACGCTAACTCCATCACAGCATTCATGACGTTGCGGGTGATGCCCTTGGACTCCAGCACGTCGCGGGAGAGCTCGCGGTTGCTACGCAGTGCGTCAATTTCACTTGCGGTCAACTTAAACTGATAGGTGCCGTTCTCCGCATCATTCTTCTCAAAGAACTCGTCAAGCGCCAGTCGGGCGCGCCGGGCAGTCTCCTTGATTTTGCGCTCCTGCTCCACCGACACTTCACCCTCCGCGGTGAGCGCCGTCTTTGCCTGCACCGCGCGAAGGGCGTCAGCCACGTCATATCCCTGTTCGTCGTAGAAGTACAGCAAGCCCAGCGCCAGGTGCTTGTCAAGGTGCGGGAGCATACACCGAAGCATTTCCGTCATTGTATCTGTCTCTGTCTCTGTCTCTGTCTCTCTCTCTCTCTCTCTCTCTCTCTCTGCGTGTGGGTGGGTGTGCTTCTCCGACAGACTTACTTCCTGCAGGAGATATATAAACCTCTCAACTGTGCGCACCCACGTATGGATACGCAGCGTGTTGCACAGATGGAGAAACAAATGTAGAGGACAAATAGAAAGATCAAAATCCACAAGGTGGCATGGCAGGTTCGGGAGGGAAGGGACACCTTCGCCCCACCCGACACACAAACAAAAATAGCAAGGTAGCAGGCAACGGATAAATGGGGCGACCAAGTGTGGGTAGATGCAACCCCTGCCAACCCTCTCCTCCCCCTCCACAAGCCCTTGCAGACGACGCGGGACAGCCACAAAGACCGCGGAAATGCATGCTCCCTTCTCCGCCGCGGTTGCTACCGCCGGTGACGTCCCCGGAAAGAAGCGAGGCGTAGACCTCAATACAAAAGAAATGCCAAAGGGAAAAAAAGCAGCGCCTCTATGAATGTCAACAACAACCCAAAAAAAAAAACATACAGATGTTGTTCACGATGACGCATAAACAACGAGAATTGCCCTGGAAGCTGGAAGCGCCTATGCAGAGCGTGCTCCACGTATGTTGCTGGTAGGAAAGTAGGATATATTTTCCACCCTGCATCCCACCTTTTTAGGAACGAATAAGCTCGAGCAGGTCACCATAGATGCTCTCACAATAGTTGTTCTCTGCCGCAATTTCCAGCATCATGTCATGTAACTTCAGTTTGTCCTCCACCGCTGCCTGCTGCTGCCGCAGACTGCGAAGCTGATGCACCTTGCGGTCTAATTCATTCATGATGTTACGCATGCGACGGCTCAGCTCCACCGTGTCCGCCAGAGGGTCATTCAGTGCCGCATTGCAGTCCTGGTACTCCCGCCGCATCGCAAGAATCTCGCGAAGCAACGAGCGACAAACCGCTGCGAGATGGCGCCCACTTTTCGTCCCAGTATGGCTCGACAACTCTGGTGTGGCGTTGCCTTCCACCACGTGCCGCAACGGCGTGGAGGGCGATGATGACGTCACCCCCGTTTTCTCCCTGGCCACAAACGCCATTGACGACAAACATGGCCGCAGAAGCGGCATCGGTTGCGTCTCGCCGGATGTACTCATGCCGCAGCGTAGCGGGCTCTCTAGTCGTCTATCCATCGGAGACGTGATACCGCGGCGTCGGTAATACAGACGGGGCTTGTAGTAGTTCTGCCGCTCCACCGTTGACACAATCGCCGCAATGTGGTGCGAGGAGGGCGAGGTGGTGTGGCACTGGTCGGGTAGCCCAGAGGGGAGAAACGCCTTCTCCAGGCCGCAGTGTAGGCCCTGCCTCCGGCTCTGTCGGTCCTGTAGCTGGGCTTCTGCCGCTGCGCGTGCGTGCTGACGCTCCGCCTCACATCGAAGCTGCTGCAATTCCTCGTTGAGCACCCGCTGCCGCCCCAACACCTCGCGCAGCTGCATCTCGTGCCACGCCTTCTCCTGCTTCGCGAGATCGACGTCGGTGCGTGCGGCCTTGAATTGAACCTGCAGCTCCAACAGCCTACGCTGTAATGCCTCCTCCCGCTCCTCCAGCTGCTTCTGCCGTGCCTGCACCTCCGCGCGACAGCTCCGCTCTCGCTGCAACCGCAGCGACGTCAGCTGTTCGTTGGCGCTTTCGTTCTCCGACAACAGACGCTGCAACTCGTCGCGCAGTCGATCCTCCGCGGCGGCGTGAATGGCCCGCTCCTTCTGCAGCAGCAGCGTAAGCTCCGCGCGGTGTCGCTCGAAGCTGCTGCTGGCCTTCTTCTCTAGGGCTGAGTACAGCTTTGCATCCTCCTGCACTGACTGCAGCTTCAGCTGAAGATCACCCAGCGCCTCCGTCACGGAGGACGCCGACAGATCGAAGTCCATGTCTCTGGTCCTTCCCACTACCTACACCCCGCTGAGATCGCGAGAGAAAACAGCAGAAACCCCGCACCCACACACGAAGAGAGAATAGCAAAAACAAAAAAAAAGAGTGCATGTGTTTCTCGGCATTTGTGAGCGGGTGGCGGTGAGGGCCACATGAAATGTGGTAGAAGACATAAAAAGAAGCGTTGGGGGTCAACAAAAAGAAGGAAAAAAAAAGAGGGTTGCTGCCTCCTCTTCACACCCCTCACTGTAGCTCCGCACCTATTTCTTTGCCTGCGCCTGCAGTCCGGCGGCCACGGGCACGCAAACACATACGCACGCTTCGTCGGCGCTCCTTCGTTGGTTGCTTGTGGTGAGGAAAAAAAAAGGAAGACGCGCGTGTATTCCCCCTCCCACGTAGTTTCTTTTCCTTCACGTCGCTCCATACATCTCCTCCCGGAGATCCTTTTCTTCATTCCACCCTTTTTTATTATTATTGCATTTTGTTTGCCTGATTCCTTTGCCTCCATCATCTCAAAAACACCTTCACTCGCGCGCTCTCCTCCTCCGCTCTTGCATTTTCTCCCTTATGGGTTTACCCATCTGCATTTCCGCCGCTGCTACACGACCACCTGCGAGCAAAGCGCATGGAATGGAGCTCCCCGGCGACTGGCGACAGCCGCCCCCCACCCCCGCCTCCTTCATTCGTTAATCGCAATGTAAAACCTCACATTGCGTTCTTTTCGCGTGTATTCGTGGCCGCCGGGGTGTTGGGTCCTTGTTTTTCCCCTCCCCCTCACAGTGTGTTGTCGCAACGCCGACGCACCGCTCATGTCTCGCAGTCCTCTTCTTCCTCTTCAAGAAAGGCACGCACGCCGTCAATGAAGGTCAGACAACTGACCGCCACACGCAGCATTCCTTCCTCGCGTGCGCTATCCTCGTCATCCGTGGCGAAGCTCTGAGGCTCCTGCGTCAGCCTGCGCACCCGCGCCCCGAATTCCACAAGAGATTCACCAGTGACAATACAGTACCCACGCTTGTCGTACAACTCGTCGTCACAGCCGTTATAGAGGCACTCCAGCAGCTGTGGGCCGCGCCGGTGCAGGAGACAGTCGCTACCACCGATCGCCGTGCAGGTGGCCCTAAGGATTTCCTGCATCTCATCCTTGCCTGTCACCATCTCCATGTAGAAAGGGCGGCACCACCGCCCAAAAAGATCATTCACCGCCTCAATTGCGGGAATCGGGTCGTTGCTGGGGGAATGTGTCTCCAAAACATGCGCCAGGAGCTTCTCCGTGACAATGAAGCAGAGATCACTATTGGTGCGCCGAAAGGAAAGACGCGTGTCCTTCATCTGCCATATGCAATGCGCCATTTGAGACGGATCACGCAGTGCCTGATACACAAATCCTACCACCGCCTCCGTGAACTCCTCCAACTTTTCGTCCTCGTCGTCAGAGTCCTCGTTCGTCTCAGCTGGAACTGGGTCCCGCACAAAGAGCTCTCGCGTCGGGACAATGCTGCTGACCCGTCGCATCCGCGAGACACCACTGTCGTCCCTGCCTGTCCCTAGTCTCCTCATCAGTCTCGACGAACTGGCCACTGTGCACCACTCTATCCTTCACAACAACCCTCTTCACGGGGAAAGTATTGTCATCGATGCGGCTGCTGTGTGAAACCACACCAATCATACAGCCTTGCCCAATGACGGAGTTTGACACCTCCGCGCCGTCATTCACAATGACGTTGTAACCAATGAGGGAGCGACTTAAAAAGCAACGGTGGCCAACAACCGTCCCGTCCAGAAGAACGCACCCAATAATAGTTGATCCCGCACCAATCTTAACCCTCTTCCCAAGAACGCTTCCACGTACCACGGCGCCAGACGCTATCGAAGCTAGCTCCCCGACCACAACACACGGTCCGAAGTTACTCGAGAGCCCCTCCGCCTTTTTCTGGTGCAGATAGACGCTCTGACAGTGAGGCGACACTGAGTAGCGGCAACCGTCGCCAGCAAAGCTAGAGTCGCGCGTGAGAGGGAAAAAACGGCGGAAGCAGACGTCAATGTTGACTTGGATATACGCTCTAAGACTTTTAATGGGTTGCACAATGTCCGTGGTCTGTACCACAGCCTGAATGCCAAAGACGTTGCCAAGTAACTCTTGATTGTCCAAAAAAGCGGCAAAGAAACTGTGATGATCCAGCATGTGAAAGGTGAAGAGCGATAAGGCACCTGCGGAGCAAAAAAAATATCCCGTGGGCACCAGATCCGTCCTTAGAGATAAAATCTCCTTATCGCTAAAGTGCATCATTACAGGCTCTACCTGTTTCTCGTCCTGCTCTAAGCGCACCATATTTTTCACAACACCAGTAGATTTTTCCAACACAAACATTGTCAACTGGTTAGGCGGGCACTCTGGGACCATATGTGGACGTCGCTCCACCGCACGAATGTCCACGCCAACGTAGTTATTTACTCCACGCTCTAGTAGCGAGTTGCCTGTCGCCCGCTCTTGCTTATTGAGCTCCCCCACGAGAACATCGTGAAGAGTGTCCTCCAGGAGAGGTTTTACTGACGCACAAAGCATGGTTGCCGCATAATTTTTGATCGTCTTTGCGCGCTGCAGGTGTGTCTCAAAAAGGTCCGACAGACTTCGCATAGACGCAATCGCATCAATAGGCACAAACAGAAACGATGTGTTCTGTTGTACAATATTTTGCCCCAAAATCAGTGCGGCGGCATCATGAAAATTTGTCATTTTGTGTGTACTCGCTACCACCTGCACCTTTAACTTATTCCCCTTCTGCCCTGGTTCGCTGCAGGCTGTGCGATTGCCCTGCAGGTGCTTGCACACCGGTGCCACAGACTCGTTATTGAGCAAAATGTAAACCTCATCCGCCCCATTCCCCGCGAGGTTCTCGAGAAGGTAGTCAATGATGGGTGTGTTGCAGATCGGCAGCAGGGCGAAAGGAAGCCCCTCCGCTGGGGCTACAGGGAAAAGCGGGTGGGAGGCGGCGTCGAACACCTCACCTAGGATAACAACCACAAAGGGCTTGGTGTGGCGCTTTCGTCCCGGATCCACCACGCGATGTGTGGTGGAGAAATCCATCACAACACCTCTTCACTTTTGCCCGCCCCGTTTGGGTTTGCCCACTTCTTCTCCTTCGTTTTACTCTCCTGCTGCTGCCTCTGCTCCCTCCCTCTTCTTGCTCTTCTTGTTACGACTGCAATATGGCCTAACGTCGTTCCACCCTTTTCACGGAGACTACAAAAAAAACAACACACACACAAACAAAAAAAAAAACGGGGAATTGAGCAGCCACCCACGGCATCCGGCGTCGCATATGGAAAGCGTCACCGTGGAATAAAAAAACACAGACACGACACCCCCCATCCATTTTAGCTTCTTTAAAAAAAAGAAAAAATGCTTTGGCAATACGAAAAGAAACGGAAGGTAGCTGCTGCAATAACAGGCCAAGCACGCACCAACCCAGACATCCCTCACCGCTTTCACTCGCCTCATGATTCATTCATTCACGCGTTTATTCACTCATTTACACTCTTCCTACCACATCAACCACCCACCTCCCTTCTTATCGTCACGTTGCTCTATGGTGATACTACTCCGCTTTATATCTGTAAGATGGAGTAGAAATGACACTTACTCCTTTTTGTTTTTTTTATTTTCCTTCGTCTCTTCTTTTCTGTGTGTTTGCTGTCTGGGTGGGAGAGTGGAAGCGGAGGTTCTGCAGTTGTTTAATCACTAAAGTCATAGGAGGAGGAACCGCTCGACGCCTCATCATCCTCGTCCTCGTCAGAAAAGGAGTCTTCATCACTGCTGCTACCGCGGCGACGCTTCCTGGAAGCCTGCGGCTTCTGCGGGCGTGCTGGTGCCCGCTTTGTCGCTGGCGCGGGGGGTGATTTCTTCTGCCCCACGTTACTGATGCCTAGAAGCACAAGATCGTCATCTGCGTCCTCTTCAAGTACGACAGCCCGCCGCGGGGCAACCGTTACTGCTGCCGCTGATGTAGCAGCGTCGGTGGGTCTCGCCGCGGTGCGTGTGAGAGCCTCAATGCCAAAGTTATCGATGTCAAAGTCATCGGTGACGAGAGCCTTAGACGTCGTTTCCGTCTTGGCGCGCTTTGCACCTGCGTTCCGCGGCTTCTGCGGTGCCCGCTTCGCCGCTGGTCGCTTAGGCAGTGGCTTTTTTGCTCCACCGTTCGCCTTGTTGCCGGGGTCGTCGTCGTCGTCGTCGTCCAGCACGACCGCGTCGCTGGCGCCACCGCCGGCGGGCCGCCAGTCGTCGCTGGTGTCGCTTAGTGTGTCGACCTCGTCGACGTCGTCACTGTCATCATCGTCGGACCTCCCCTTCCGTCTCCGCCTCGCCGCGGGTTTACGCCCAGCCGATGGGTTTTTGGCGGCGTCACCCGTGTCGCCTTCCACGCATTCCGCACGTCCAACTTTTTTCTCGGACTTCACAAATTCCTTCGTGAGTGCCTGCCGCGCCTTGTCTGACAACAGCGGCACACGCAGTCGTCGTGGGTCGAACGGCCGCGTCTTCTCCATCTTCTTCCGCTGAACGGAGGCAATCTCCTTCACCCGGCCCTCGAAGAACTTCTCAATGCGTGGACGCAGCTGGTTGAGATCCGCTGCCCACAAATCCTTCGGTGTCTGCTTCTGCAGTGTGGCGAGCTCGTCACGCGCCTTCTGCAGCTGCGCCTGCAGCCGCGCAATCATCTCCGCCGTCAGGTTCCACAACCGCATGCCCAACAAATAGTCGTAGTCCCGCGCAGCCTGTTGCACCTCGGGAGCCTCGCCACTGTCTGCATCCCCCGCTGCATCCACTGCGGGCTGCAGCATAAGAAAGACCTCCTCCGTCATGGCACTTGCCGCATCCTCCACGGCCTCCTCATCCCCCTGCTGGATTGTGGTGGAGCTTATATTCTTCTTTTGGTGCGGCGGAAAGGGAGTGTATCCGCGTTGGCGCAACTCCTCCAGTAGCTCCCGCTTGCGCCGCCGCGTGACAATAAGATGGCCGTCCACCACCTCCGTCACGAAACGCACCATGTTTTCCAGCTTGGACGCGACTGATCGCAGATCACCGATCAAAAAGTCCCGTCGCTTCACGTAGTACTCTAGGCGCACCAAATAAAATGCCTTTAGCACCGCCTCCGCGTCGAGGTACTTTGTGATTTGTCCCTCTCTGTCAAAGGCGATGATGTTTGTCGCGTGGATATACTCACGCAGCTGCAGCTTCTCCTCCACACATCCCTGCGCCACCCACTGCTGGAGCACCTCGGGGTGTACAAAAACCTCAAAGTCAATCGTCACATCGGTGTTGTGCTCGCGGTACTGCACCACCACCTCCTTCTCACGCAGTTCCTCAAGAAACTTCTTATACGCCTGCGTCCAGGTCCCAACAGGCAGCTCAGTGATGTGCACAATGCCGTCCGGCCGCACGGTAGCACAGCCTACGGAGACAAACTTCCCCTTTTCCTTCTCCTCAATGGTGCCAGTGAAACCAAAGTACCACGGCTTCATCGGCTGCACCTCCTCCCCCCACAGCAGCCGCATCAGGTTATCGATGACGTCAAGCGGGGAGTAGTTGGGGATGTTCGTCGCAAACCCCGTCCCAATGCCGGAGGTACCGTTCACCAACACCATTGGGATGACTGGGACGTAGTAAAACGGCTCCACGGAAAGGCCATCGTCGTCCTTGTAGTCCACAACAAAGTCATCTGAGGCGTGAAAAATATACCGTGCCAGGTTCGTGAGGCGGGTGAAGATGTAACGACCCGCAGCATGATCCTTGCCGCCCTGAAGCCGAGTACCAAACTGACCGTCTTGCTGCAGCAGCGGGACATTGTTGGCACCCACAAAGTCCTGGGCGAGTCCAACGATGGTTTGCACCAGTGACTGCTCCCCGTGGTGGTACGCCGCGTGCTCAGAAACGTAACCGGCAAGTTGGACCACCTTAATAGACCGTGTGAGATTACGCTTAAACGAGGAAAAGATGATCTTCCGCTGACCTGGCTTCAAGCCGTCTATCACGCTCGGGATGGAGCGCTCGCAGTCGGCCACCGAGAAGAGAATCAGCTCCTTGTCTACAAACTCTGAGTACCGCACGGTCCGGACATTGTAGTTCATAGACTCATTCACGTTGGTGTTCGCCCTAAATTGCGTGATCCAGTGCTTGCGCTCCTCCACCTTATCCTTTGCAAAGGCCATGACAATGCGGGACTCATCGCTCGCATCCTCGCGCACAAAGTCAAGGCGGTGACGATCGATGTTCTCAAAGTACTCGCGTCCCTCCTTCGCGCCGGAGGTACCCAGACCCTTGTAGTACCGTATCTCGTAGTTTCTAATGCCGTCGCCAATGGCGTTCTTCCACTCAAAGTAGTCTGGCATTGAAAAGAATGAAATGGCGCGATCATCACCATCCCCACGTCCTTTTCTACGCGCCTTGACAATCGGTGTGATGAACTGCTGCAGAAACCCAGGTGCCTTTAGTAAATCCGGCCAGTAGTGGTGAATCATGTTGATAATAAGCCCTTTGATGTGGGAACCGTCATGATCTTGATCGGACATAATCATCAGGTGTCCGTAGCGCAGCCCTTCCACACCAATTTGTTTTTTGGAAATGTCAAGGCCCATGATCTTACTGATTGCTTGAAACTCCGCGCACGCCATGACTTTCTTCAGTGCGGCGTCACGCACGTTAAGGGGTTTCCCACGCAGCGGAAAGACGCCAAAGTAGTCGCGGTCCTTGACGGCGAGTCCGGCTGTGCAAAGGGCCTTGGCAGAGTCACCTTCCGTGAGGATAAGAGTGCAGCGGTGACCGTGTTTTCCACCCGCCTCATTTGCGTCATCCAACTTGGGAATGCCAAGAATCTGTTTTCGGTCGGCGTTGCGCAGCTTAGAGGCAATTTCCCGCGTTAGTTTGCTATTCGCCATCTCCACTGCCCGCTCTACCACACTCGATTTCAGGATGCAGTCAATCATGGCAGGAGGCAATTCACAGGTGGAACCAAAGCGGGACTTGGGGGTGTTCAGCGTCTCCTTCGTCTGTGAGTCAAAGCCAGGGTTCTCCACAAGACAGTTGATAAACACAAAAAGGTGGGGCCGAATCATGTGCGGTTTCACCTCGGTCTTGTTCTTGCGCTTCGCCTGCTCCGTCACCTTCGCAATGACTTGGTCAGTGATATACCTCACGTGGGTGCCACCCCGCGTGGTGGCGATGGAATTGACGAAGCTCACCTGCTGAAACCCGATGTTTGACACACGCACACACACCTCCCAGCGGGCATTCACGCGGGCGTAGCTGGCCGTCTTCCTCTCCTCGCCCATCATGGGATAGAGGTCAACGTACTCGAGAAAGGTGGAGCAGGCAATCTTCATATCGTTGAGGTAGCAGCGAAGGGACTTGTCTGTGCACCCCGCCACATCGTATACGCGGCGTCGCATCATGTGCACCATGTCCTCGCCGAAGCCCTGAAGGTTAAACTTCGCGAAGTCCGGGTAAAACGTCACTACGGTGTAGTCCGGCCCATCGCACGGGGTAATAATGGGTTCCTCAGACTCCAACATGTTATTTCGCCACCGCATAAAGAACTTCTTGCGGGAACGGCTATGCACCGTCTCCACCTCAAAGCGAGAGGAAAAGACGTTGGTTAGCTTCGCCCCAAACCCATTTCGACCGCCAGTGACCTTTGCCTCAGTGTCATCGTAGTTTGAGGACGTCAGCAGGTAACCAAAAATCATCTCCGGCACCCACAAGTTGTGCTCGCGGTGCCGCTGCACAGGGATGCCCTCACCGTTGTTGTACACCCGCACCATCCCCCGTTCGGCGTCAATCCACACCTTAATGACTGTCTGACCGAGTGGGTCTCGCACCTTGTTGTCGGCAGCATTCACGAGAATTTCGTCGAAAATTTTATAGAGCCCAGGTGTCCAGGTGCACTTTCGCACCTTCATGATGTTCTCCGCCTCATCGTAGACCCACATGTCCTCGGTGACGGGTTCAATTGTGCCAATGTACATATCAGGGCGAGCCAAGATGTGTTCATGCTGCGTCTTCTTTTGATAAATCTCCTCCACAGTCCGCTTTGTCATCTCGTCTGTTGTTTGTTACCTTGCTTGTCTGCTTGCTTGTTTCAGTTATCTTGCTCTCCCTCTCTTTGTGTGTGTATTTGCTCCACAGCCTTCGAACGCCGGTGGTGCTGACACGCGAAGGAGTAGATAAAGTAAAACTACGGCGTGCTTGCCCCTGCGCGGAAGTATTTATTCGTAGTTATGTGTGTGTGTGTGTGTCTATTCTACTGCTTATGTAGGCCCACCTTCTGCTGCTTCCCAGCCTCGTTAGTGTGTTGCTGCTGCGCCAGAAGAAGCAGCGGGGGAAGCGGAGAGGAGTGAACTCCGCGCTGACTGCGCCGTGTGTCAGGCCTCACACCGAGCACTGCAGTCCAAGCAGCAAAAAAAAGACAATAGGAAAAAAAAAAAGGAACCGTAGTCAGCATCAGGGTTCGTCAGGAATAATAATAATAATAAAAAACGCGACACGCATAATTCCTCCCTGAAGGTGAGGGTGAGGGCTAGGCTCACCGACGCAAAGTTATCCGCGTAGGTGGGTGCTGCTTTAACGCGCGGCGGCAGCCAAGTTCTGTAGGCGAGGCGAGGGGGTCGCCGTCGCCCACGCTGCCCCACTGCGGCTTGTCGTCAGCAGCGATGCGTCAAATTCCGCGCGGGCCAAGTCTTTTGCCTGCTCCCTCGCCTTGTCGTACTCGCGGCGAACAAACGCAACGGGAATCACGAGACGAAGGCCGCGGTCCTCGGCGTTGAGGTGCAGTAGCCCCATGCCCAGCAGCGTCCGCAGAACATCCGCCTCCTCCAACCGCACTCGCCGCGCAATGCCGCGCACGCTTGTGACGCGCAGCCGCTCTGTTTGCACGGCCCGCCCGTCGGCGTCGTCGTCGTCGTCGTCGTCCGCGGCGTCACCGCTCTGACCTGAGCTGCCGGCGCGTGGCCGCTTCATCCCGCGGCCCGTCAGGGGCGTCGTCGCCTCCACAATCACACTTTGACAGTTGTCGGCTCTGCCTTCTTTGTCTTCGTCGTCGTCGCTCGTGACAGCGACAGTAGCGGAGTCCGGCAGAAGTGAGTGCATCCACGTCACGAGAACACGGCGCCAGTAACGGTCATACGCCGAGGCGCCCAAATCCGACAGCGGCCTCTCCGGTGACCCAATGTGTTTCCTGCGGTGCGCCAGCTCGTAGCTTGCGGCGATCATAAATTGCCCAAAATGGCCCAGTGGTGTTCGCGCGGTAGTGCCAGTGTGCAACGTGTTCCGCGCTGCCCCGCCCGCGAAGCACGGTAGGGTGACAATGCAGGCCAAGTTATTATCCACCACCTGCTTCTCCCAGGTGAAATAGCCAACAAAGTACATTGCCGAGGCCTCATCGGTGTATTGGGGAAAGTGTCGCTGGTGAAGGCAAACAACGTAGAAAAAATAGTTGTGTACGTCATGCCCGGCCAGCTTATTCTCCAGGAACGACTTACCCAGAAGAAACAGGTGGCGGCAGTACGTCACCTGGCGACTGCCGTTCACCTCAAACATAGAAAACCCGCGTGCTTCATCGCGGTAAATTTCCTGCCCTGGTGGTCGCAATCGCCCCCCGCGGTAGCACCTTGTCTCATGCTGCATCTGCTCAAAGGTGCTGTATATGCGAAGAGAAAATGGGCATAAGTAGGCGTCCCGAATAAAGGGGTTGTGCTCTGTAAAGTCCGCCGGCAAGCCGAGTTGCGCTCTCTCCTGGTCGGCAAGAGAGATGGATGCCAACGGATCAAACTCCTTGTTAAAAATGCCGTACGGCGCATAGTACCAGGGAGCAAAGACAAACGTGGACAAATATACAAAGTACCGAATGGTTGTCGGTGTGCGGCAGTCACGAAGCAGGCGTTCCTCAAAGAAATCCAGCTGCTTCTCCTCTCGGCGAGTCCGGATCATTCCCACCGTAACCTCCCCATAGACCGAACTCAGGACTGGGCCACGAATGCGGTTGGTGACACCTGACGGCGGGGACACCGTACCTGAAGCTGCGTTATTACCCCCACCGCCCTTTGGCTCCTTCAGTTCAATATCTTCTACAGGGAACCACCCACTCAGGCGGTGATTCACATCCTTCAAGCGCACAAAGCCGTATAATGGTGGTGGCGGCGGCGTTGCCTTGCGGCCGGCATTAAAGCGAGCCGGTGTCCACAAGTAGCGAACCTCCAGCAAATGCCCTCGCCGCACTGCCGCGTCCGGCCCGCGCACACTACACGACGATCCTAGAAGCGAATGCTGACGCCCATCATCCTCTACCTTACCAGTGTTGCTCTTCTCCATTTCCTCGCGCCGCCTCACCGCCCTCCTGTCGTCGCTATGGCTGCACGTTCTGCTGTTGCTGTTGCAGGGCGGCAAAGGTGCGTGTCCAGGCTGTCCGTCGATGCCAGGTGCCCCTGCACCGCCCTCAACGCAGCCAAAGAACAAAAAAAAAAGGTCAAAACTACAAAAAAAATACAAATAACAATAATAAACGGAACTGCAGAAGAGCAGCAATAGAGCAGCAGAAAGCCCATGTTGGGTGCATGATTCCATTCAAATTTGCTATCACCCCCCCGCCAATACACATACACAAATACACCCCCGACTCAGTCACCCACACGCGCTTCCCTAATGATAGTCCCCGTGAGTGCGTAGGGGAGGCGCCCACGCCAACGTCGACGAAGCATGTAACTGAACTAAAGAAGAAAAATAATAAAATATACACATAAAAACTTAGGTAGCGTCACAATGCCTTTACTCATGAACCACACAGAAAGAAAGGGAGAAAGACATATACACACATACACGCACACACAGCACGCGCATACGTAAAGGAAAAGCAGAGAAATACGCTAAAAGGGTTGAGAAGCCCTTGACAAACGCACTGCCAGACGCTCCTCAACTTTCCGCTGCAACGGCGAACTTGTCAACATGTTAGCCGCCAACTTGGCCGTGAGGTATGGATTGACGCCCCGGCTAGCAGGTTGCCGGGGCAACGGCGAGTGCAACGACTGCATGCCAGAGTTCGCGGGAATAGTGAGGTCCTCCTCATCAGAAAGCCGTGATGGAAGTTGGTGGGGAAGCTGGTGTTGACCGAGACGACTGTGCACAACTTGTACAGACTGTCGCTGCGGGGTGCTGCCTAACGGGCAGAAGGTGAACCTGCGCTGGAGCTGCTCTCTCTCCATACCTGAGGAAAGCCGGTGTAAAGGAGGGCTTAACTCCTGCGGCGGCCACACGTTCGACGTCCACGTCGCCGCGGGGGGATCGTTCTGCATACTTTGAAGTTTTTCTCCCAGGCGGCACTCGTGATGCAAACCGCAACCTTGGCGCTCTGCCGACAACAGTGGCGGCGGTGGGGCGAACATTGACACAGCATCCCTGGACCTCTGTCGTGTGTGAGAAAAGGTAGCATCGTCGTGGGGAAAGGAACGACCATCCTTCCTGGACGACGTCGCGCCCCTCCCTTCACCACCAGCGAGTAGAGCCTTATTCTGCTCGTGTATTTTCCGCACCCGTGACAAATATGTTTCCATATCCTCCAGCAGTCTCCACCGTCGCGACTCCATCCGCGCAAAGCACTGCGCCTGCCTCTGCGAACGCAGCAGTAGCATTCGTTGTTCGACAACTTCGCAGGCCAACATGTTTGATGTCAAGTTTTCCATCTCGTCACGCAAAGCGGACTTAAGCTCCTCCTCCTGTCTTGCAAGTTCCCTAAGATACTCCACCACCTGCGGATCCACCGGCTTTCCTGGGACAACACGAGACAAAATGGCATTCAGCAGGGCCTCCTCATATTCCCATGAAGGAAATTCCTCGTAACCTCGCAGCCTCGGTGGTGGCGACAAAGTTTTTTCTCCGTCCGTGGGGTTTTTTTGTTTCCGGTCAGGTGGCTCCATGTCACGAATACGGGGAGGATTAAAATTGAGCCCAGGACGCCGCTCCAACTGGACCGCTGGAGGAAGATTACAAGACGAGAAAAAGCCTGTGGGGGTGCGCAAAACAGAGGGCACCTCCGCAGCTTTCAAAGTTATGGGCACGCCTTTCCCCTCCTCAAACTCTTCCTTATCATGGGAGTTGCAGGAAGGGAGCGGAGCTTCCGCGGTAGCCAGGGTAGTAGGGGCTAGCGTCTCCTTTTCTTCATTCCCTTCGGAGACCACAAATGAGGCGAGTTGGACGTCTGTCCGTGCCTCCTTCACCGCAGTTGTCTCCACCTCTCTCTCTGCCTTGGGACTTGGTGGGACCGTCGACGCTGTTGTAATGGGGAGGAGGACGGTCGCACCGTCGTCAGAAAGTTGTTTACCATCTGCCGGCTGCTTAACCTCTCTATAGGGCTTTTCTGGTTCGTTTAAGTCGTCCGCGGGCAGGTCTTCACCTGATGCATTTGGACTCGTGCCACTAACCTGTGAAGCATGCTTTGATTCCACCTGTGATCCTTCTTCGGCAGCCACATGACTATGCAAAACCTTCTGCTGGAGTTCAGCCGCCTTAGAGGCGTCACCCGCCGCAGTCACGCTGACAGCTGCTGTGGACGCCTCAATTGAGACGGTTTCCTTAGGCTCAGGCTTTAGTGACGCAGCTGTAACCGCTGCTGATGGCGCTGCTGGTACGACCGGTAAGACGGGAGCCGCATTGGAGGGCTGCACGTCCTCAAACGTCTTGGCACGTTCAATGACGCCGCCCCGACCTTTCGGTATTTTAGTTGCCCGTGCCCACTTGTACATCTCCAGATAAACAACTTGGTTCGCCGGGTAGAGCGCGCGAAACACGTCACAAAGCTGGTCAATGCTGATGCGGCCCTCATCGTCGGGTGGGGCATGTTTCTTGTAGAGAGTTGGGACGTCCATGTGTGCCGCACGCATCATAGGGTCAAGCGTGGAACGCAGGGCCTTGAGCTCAGTGCGGTCTTCACCGTTGAAAATACCCTTCTTGAGGGATCCCCGGATGTAATTCCACACCAGCTCGTCGTACGGAATCTTTGATGCCTTCTGTAGTTCATACATAAGGGATAGAAAACCGTTGGAGCCCAGCGGGCACTGGGTCCGATAAGACTCGACAAGGGCCTGATGCTCGTCGGCAGCAATGATGTTCATGACGCCCATGAGTTCCTCCTCAGAGATGGGCTTGCCGTCATGGAAGGAGTCGTGCAAGTCACGAATATGCTGTCTATACTTGAAAGGTACGGACATTGGTTCTGCCCCCCCCCCCCCTTGCAGTGTATGATTCTCGTTGTGAGATCAGTGTCCGTGCCTTTTTCCCTCCGATTCTCTTTAAAGCGGTGAGTTGAGTGCTATCAACAAGTGTGCGCACGCAAATGTATGAGGCTTAGTTTTCGGCCCCTGCGCTGTAGCGTCAGCTCGCTTTCGCCTTCTCTAAAAGGTTAACAATATATATATATATATATATTTAACGGTAGCCAGACAGCAGACAATCTCTATGCAGCAAGCCCAAGAACAATGAAACTACAATATAATATGATATATCGTATATATACAGTGTGGATGAGACCATGAGAGAAAACGCAGAGGAATAAAAGTAAAGAAATGACAAGCGGAAAGTAATCAACAGGAACAAACCACAACGAGGACGTGTTGCCATACTTCGTGCTAATGCAAACGTTGCTACGAGAAAGACCTGCATAAAAAGTTATATTTACCTGCCACGGTCTTGCCGTACAATTTTCCGTGTTAATCCCATTAAATAATGCCGGTGTTGTTAGCCAACCTTATTGTTGTTTGTTCTTGCCTCCAAGCTTGCTTTATATATGTATCATGTTCTTCCAATCTATTGCTACTTTTTTTTCTTTTTACAGGTTTCTTTTGTCTTCCGTTTTGTTGTCGTTGTTTCCTCTTTGATCATGCTTTGGTTTTTGTTCATCTCATATATTTACGTTGGGCTCATCGAACGACTCCATCCCACTCCAACTCTCTCTCTCACTCCCTCGTCACCTCACACACGCATCCCTCCTCATCCTCCGGCTGGGCGGCGCGGGGGGCACCCCATGCTTAGGCGCACGTGTGGTCGGGTGCGTACGTACATGTAAGCATGTGCGTTGATGCTTACTTCACCTTATTCCAGTTCAGGTACGTCGCGACGGCACCGGAGACGGCGGTGAGGGCGCCGGACGTCACTGGGCTTGGGTGCCACACACTCTTCATGTAGCCGACGGAAGCCATCGTCACGAGTACATCTGAACCATCCTTCGTCAGGCTGATCAGGGCGCTCTTCACCTCCTTGCGGCTCGTTGCGGCATCGCTAGCGCGCCTCAGAAGGGCACTGTGCAGAGCCAAAAGATCCAATACGGCAGCAAAGAAGAAGCCCCAGAACTGCGCCACCTTGCTTCGGTTCTGAATGAGCTTGGCCTCACCAGGGAGCAGCTTAAAGCGCACGAGGAAGCCAATGTTGTCACCAAGGACGTAGAGGAAGTCACCCAGCAAACGCAGAAACTCGATCAACTTCTTCAGCTCCACGCTGCGCTTCTCTGCGCAACGCAAAACAATACTGTGCATCTTGGGCACGTTACCCGTCCACTTGGCCATGCGCAGCAGGGAGCGGCCATCCTTTATAGACTTGTTGACCGAATTATAGGCAACTCGATGGGATTCAACGGCATCGATGCCGTCAAGAACATTCAGCACACCACTGAGCAATTTGTAGATCTTGTCGCGGCCGTCGGTTAGCCCAAGGAGCCTCACAAACCTGTCGAAGTCAGACATTGATGATGTTCGGGGCTTTAAAGAACTTCAAAAAAAGTATATATTTTCTTATTCCTTACTTGCAGTTGTGGTAAATCGTCGCCGTGTTATGGACTGCAGCGGTTTACAGTGCCACACCAGAGTGAGGAAGAGAAGCGTGGAGAGGTGACCTCTCGCAGCGCCCCCAGCAGCTGGGGGGAGGCAGCAACCACACGCACACGCGCAAAATCGAGAGAGAACTGCAGGTAATAAACAAGCAAAAAATGTCACTCAAAGAAAGAGTGAAAGCGAGGACGAGACCCGCAGCGATGGGTGCCCCCTCTCACTACAACGACCACCACCCACAGCTCTCTTCACAATCAGCGGCAAGTGCCCTCCGCACATCCGGGCCGCTCCTGAGGGAGCAACTTCCGCAGTCGTGCCTCCAGCTCCACAACCTCAGCAGCGACGTTTGCCCTCGCCTTCGCCTCCAAGGCATCGCAAAAAAACTTTGTCTTATACCACCGCGGGTGCCGCAGAAAGCTTCGCAAAAATGCCACTCGTCCGCGACAAAAGTCAGCCTCGCTGTGCCAGCCGTACTCTCTTCGGATATCAAGCGTGTACTGTTGGTAACGCTCCGCCCCACTACCCAGAATGGCGAGGTCGAGATCAAGAAATATATGCAGCGGAGACGGTGTAGGCTGTAAGGCGACGGCCGAGTCGCCGGACTGAAGTGTCCAGTGCGTATAGCACGGCTCCACTGACATGTGGTGTTTCGTCTGAAGAATAAATCTCACCACCTCCTCCACCACCTCTCGTGCGGCATCGGGGTCGTCCCAGAGCAGTGGGCAGGCACTCACCAGCGCCTCCCCCGTATTCAACAGCGCCGCGTCCGCTGTCGCTATTCGGCGGGCGTCATCCCAGAAGGATTGAAACCATGCCGTGCTGCACTCCTCATTGTCACCGCGCCTTGGGTCGTAGACCACATCGTGAAAGAGGGTTGCCAACTCCACCACAATTCGTCGTGTGCCCGCCGCAGGCAGGCGATGTGCCATCGGGGCTTCGGACTGGAAGCGTGCGAGGCAGCCCAGCATATCCTCCAAGTGCGTCAGCGTGTGGTAGTGTCGCTGCGGCTCCGTGTAGCGAGTAAAGATAAACTTCTCAAACAGGTCTCGGGCGGGGACGATGGCAGCAGCAGCGTCTGACGGGTGTTGCCGCACCAGCCATCCGACGCAGCGCCCCCAACAGGCAAATGTCAGCGGAAATGTTTTGGCGGCGATGTCAAGGCCGCCTGTATCCGCCTGCGCCGCTTCCATCAATGCGACGGAAGCCCTGCCGCCCCCGTCTTCCCAGGCACGTATGTGTGTTTCTGCCTGAGGTGTGTAACGCACAAGCAAACACGCACCCAACAGGAAGAGGGGTGAAAGAAGAGGGAGAGAGAGAAAGAGAGAGAGAGAGAGAGAGAGAGAGAGAGAGAGAGCGGCGGTGCTGAGAAGTCTGCAGCACTAACGCAGAGGCCATCTTTTGCTTCGGTGCGACGGAGGAGCCCATCAGGCATTGGAGTGCAAGGTAAGAGGACCTCAGCAAACCGCCGCCACGCATTAACAACGCGCAATGCTCGATGCAACGTCACCACGTCAACTGCGGGGGAAGTAGTAAGAAGGAAGTAGGAAGTAGCCGCAGAGTTAAGACAAGGAGGTCGTAAAGAAAAACACGATCAAAAAAAAACGCATAAAAAAAATCACTACTCATCTCCATACGTTCACGTATTGGAATAAATACACATGAGAAACACATGCACGCTTGTGCTGACGCAAGCAACGTGGGCGTCAATATATATATATATATATTCCACGTTCTTTCCTCAACAGTTTACTTCTCCCCCTCAGACCTCAAGCCACAGCCACCACTCGTCTGCCGCTGGGGACAAAAAAAAAAAAAAAAAGGATCCATTCACGCACAGAGAAAAAAAAGTTACCCGTCATTTATTCCCCTTCCACTGACAGGGAGGATGTTGTGTTCACCTTCCACGTTTTTTTTTTCTGCTTTCTGTGCGTTTTGCTGCCACTCAGCTCCTGCCGGCCCCCACCTCCCCACACCACTTCTATTTTTCTTCCTTCTTTTCCCGACGTCATGTCTTTTCAATGCGACGACGCACACACACACACGACGATGGGAGCACAAAGGTGAAACCCAAAACAAAGCAAAACTTAAAAGAAGAACAAAAATGTGCCTGCAAAAGTAACTAGCATATATATATATATATATATCACAACACACACACACGCAAAGGGATGCCCAAATTTATATTTATTGATGCTTACGTACAGGTGCTGGCGAAGGTTCAACGGCTATGCACATTGCCTTGGCAACCCCGCCACCACTACCCCACCGACCGCAGTATATCCCCTCTACCTGATCTCCCTTCTGTTGTCACTTCCGTTTTTTCTTTTTGTTTTTTATTACTGTCTTTGTGTTCGTTTCCACTTCTGTGTGTGTATGTGTGTTGTTTTTTTCTTCTTGTTGCTTTTAATGTTTCCCGCCCACCCACTCTCTCGCCTTGCTGCGGTTTGCGCCTTCTCACCTTTTCTGTGCTGTACCTTGATGCCACGTGGAGAGGGGGGAACGTGTGGGCGGGCGGAGCTGCGCCGGGGTGCGGTGACGGCGCCACAAATAACATCGTGGTGGCTCTCCCGCACAGAGGAACGCACAAAATAAACCCTCGCACACATCGTTCAGATATATATATATATATATATCATTCCTTTCATGATGATAATTTAAAGTTCTTGCTGTAGTACTCCTGCGACGTGAGATTGTATATGCTGAGGAGTCGCTCCATGTGGGCTTCGACTACGTTGTTGCCTTTTTCCGGCATCAGCGTAAACTCCAGCCCGACGTACGCGCGAAACTCCCACTCCTGCACCTGCCCCCACGTCAGTCCGGTAAATGCCTCGTCCGACCGGACGAGTGTTTTGAGGTACTGAATCTTCTTGTGGATGTCACCCGTTTCCAGGAACTTCAAGGCAAGTAGCAGACATGCAGCAAGCGCACGTCCACGGTTACGCTTGCCTACCATCCCCCGCATGACAAGCCTCTCAAAATACCAATTGGCGTGGGCGGCGGTGACTAACTCTACAGGAGACGATTTCTCAAGGACAAACCAAATCAGATCGTTGCGTGCTTCGTGCAAATGTGTGAGCTGAATCCCACGTATTTCCAGCTCTGGATGCTGCACGTAGAAGTCATTGTTTTTGTCCTTTTTCTGCACCTTCCCGCCCACAAACGAGATCACTGAGGCTCGGTAGGATTGCAGTGCGATCATTTTTTTACGGCGCTCACCGCAGCTGATGTTGCCCGTGTCCAGGAAAAAAGCGTTGTAAAAGACAGGGTCATTCTTGCCGCGGACCTGGGTGAGCAGCTTACCATATGACCGCATTGCCTTTTCGATGTAACCCCGTCGTTGCGGCAGGCACTCGGATCCATCGCAAGACTCAAAGTCGGAACGACTATCCCCTGTGTCACTCATATCAAGGCCGCAGCTTCCATCATCCCCGACGTCGCTGCCGGTGCCTCCATCGTCCCTTCTCACCGTAGCGCTGTTGTCGTCACTTTTATTGCCACGGTGACGCTGACCATCTACACCGTAGTATTCACCCGGGTAAGGCTCCACAAGGCGATCATGCTGCCAGTATGACTTCTTAGGTGGAGCAAAACAAGAAAGCACCGTGCATAGGCTGACAGGTTGCTTGTATTTAACGGCCGCAGTCCAACAGTCTCCGCTGACGATCTTTCTGTCGTTCTTACTACCCCTTGTTATACTTTCCGCACCATTCTCGGCAGTATTTGTGTGCGTGTTTCCTTTTAATTGGTGACTCTGCTGCCTCGATGTGGTCTTTGGCACGAAGCGCAGCCGCACCCGCTGCCCCTCCTCCCGTACCAGCGTATTCACAGAAAGTGGGGCCTCTCCCTGCTGCAAGGACCATTCCATGTCACCACCTTGGCGTGTGCCATGATAATCCTCGTCACGGAGCGTGGACTTGCGCTGCATTGACACGTGCCTTGCCATTTCACCAATGGATATAAGAAAGGCAGCATGTTCCATAAGCAATGTCGCGGCGGCATTAGGTGGCGGTTGTGGGGCGACGACAGATGATACCGATGATGTGTTGTTACCCGCGCAGCTGGACTTTGACAACGCCGTGTTTGGCGACCCCAACACTGAGAAGTGTCGAGACACGGTCAAAGGCAAGGGAACGTCGCCAGGTCTGCCCGCTTCATTGACGTTTTCGGCGCTGCCGCTGCCCAGGCGCGCCTCCACGGCGTGACGAGGCTTTCGACACAAGCTCAAGAGCGCCTCTGTCGCACGGGCCATCTCCTTGCGGTCAAAAGTATCGCCGTTTTGTTTGGTATTGTTCTTGGAGGCAGTGGAGTTCAGTTGTTGATAGGCGCCGTCGCCACTGCCGCTGCTACTGCTACTACTGCTGGTGTGGTTGGTGTTGTTGTTAGTGGTGTTGCAACTACTACTGCCACCACTGCCATCACCACTGCTGTCCTCAGTGATGTCAGAGTCATCCCCATACACGGCAGTGCCACCCACATGAGTGTCAGACGATGGTTGTTGCTTCGGCGGTGGGGGTGGGGATTTTGATCCTTCCCGGGAGGATGTCTTGTGGTTGTTGGCCAGCTTTGCTCGATCTCTGTCTGCAGGCACGCCCAGAAAAATGCAAGGGCAGAGAAAGAGTGGCTGGGATGTAACACGGGAAAATGGTAAGAAGTGCTTCTTTTCGCGGAGTGTGTCGCTGTCGCCGTCCGCGTGGGTGGATGTGCGTCAACACCGTAATAACTGCAGAGATCGTGCAAATGTAACTACGACAACTGAGAATAAAACCTCGGAGTAATCGGCAGAAAAACAACAACCTAAAATAAAAATAGTGTAAAATAAATAACTAACTCTTCGTGAGGGACACCCACACACAAGCAAAAAAAAAAAAGTCTCTCTGTCCTTGTCGGTTATGTTTTATTTCTGTGCCTCCCTCGAGCGTTTTCTCTCTTACTTCGTGTGATTCTTTTTTCTGTTATGCCGTGGGACGCTTCCTTACCTTTCCCAGTTACTTTTCAGTGGCTTAGCCAGATGAATGGGGGAGTAGAGGAAGGGGGGCTGATGCGTCACTTCCCTTTGGATGGCCTGCTGCACGGCAGTGGTATCTTCTCCACGCAGCACGGAGTTGCAGGCAAAAAGTAGTGGTGGGTGAGAAAAAAAGAAGCAAGCGTATAGTTAGGGGGAGAGGGGCGTGTAGCACGCCGGAAGCGCCACGGGCGGCAGACGCAGCAAAGCAGGAGAAACACCAGACACAAAAAAAAAAGAACAGACTGAAGTGTATGTAAGAGGCACGCAGTGGCGTGCCGTGTGACGAAAGATGTACAGCCACCGGCGGCAGCGCCCCCACCCCCGATACCGCGGCCGGAGTGCCCGAGCCGAAGCAAAAAAAAAAAAAACACGTAGGTGGGTGTGTGGGTGGATGGAAGCCGCACGCCAAGTAAATGTACATATTGCGATGGGAAAGCGCAAAAACAAAAACAAAAATGTCTCAGCAACAACAGTCCAAGGAGACACCACCACCACCACCACCACCATTGCCCCCTCCTGGCTCGCCGGCGCTCTAACAACAACAAAAGTGACAACGATGGCGACTGCTGCCACAACTTCTGCAGTACAATGTGTTACTCCGCACCCGCTCCAGCAACTGTGCACCGGCGCAAACGAAGAGATGTGAAACGGCCGTGGAAGAGCCAACCTGCACGCAGAGCCAATGCAGAAAGAAAAAAAATGGCGAAGTAGACCCGCGTGAGCCTACGCTGCTGCGTCTGCCGGAATTGACGGGAGGGGAGGAGCGGAGACAAGGCGAAAAAGAAAAAAACTCAGGCTTTTAGGGCAGGGACGTGAAAAAATACAGCGGCTTGGAAAAACAAACAAAAATCAGGTATAAAAAAGACAAAATACATCTCAGCTTTCTCCGTAGTGATACATTTCTTTTTTTATTTACCTCATGCCTTCTCTCTATCCATCTCTCGCCTTATTTTTGTGGGAAAGTGTCATTACTTTGCGCTCATGACGCCCCCACACATCTTATATAGATATACATATATACATACATATATATATGTATACGGATGTATCGCACTGCATCCATAGTGTTTCCTCTGTGACGGTGCACAATAATAATGGTCGTCGTGGGTAATAGGCATACACTTGCCTCAACGCAAAAGCCCACAAAAAGGTAACAATACAAAAGATAACCGTACATGTTTATGGAACACCTGACGCACGCACGTATACATGCATACATACATTCTCCCAAAATAATTTACAAGCCGACATACAAAACAATAATTATAACAATACATACGTATACAGCGAGATATTTTATATATATATATATAGAGGGTGAGAGGAAAAACAAAAACAAAAAAGTCATATATATATATATATATATATATATATATAAGTAA